CCCTGCTCATACACCCTGACCCCATTTTTGCCCCACTCACCCCAGCCCATGCTCTGGTTCCTGCTCACTTACTATCCCCTCCTGCTCAGCCCCATTTCCCTTGCCCTGCAATTCTTTCTTTCTTTCTTCTTTCTTTCTTTCTTTCTTTCTTTCTTTCTTTCTTTCTTTCTTTCTTTCTTTCTTTTGTGGTATCTTTGCAGGGCAGAGTTGAGGTTGCATCATCTGCTCTGTGTTGCATAATCGTTGTTTTGATATTGAGTTTTTTTCATGAACAGTTCCATTTTTTTTTAAAAAAAGGCCATTTTTCTATGAGTTCTTTTGTGAAAAATTTCCAACCAATTTTCAGTTGCGTCTGTAGTGGGTGTGGTGTGAGTCATCACTGGAGCCTGATGACCTGGGACAATTATCTCCCTTCTTTACAACACCAATGCTCTGAATTGCTTTGGTTCTGTTTATAGATACTATATCCCATTTCAAACTAATGTCTAATTTGTTGTGTCCCAGCTTTAACCCTCCATGTGTTTGTTGGACCGTGAATAATAATGAACCAAATTCAGAATTATGGTGCCCCAAACTCAGTGGCTTTAGTAAAATACAATATTTGCTAATCAGGGTTTTATTTATTTAAACTGGGAGTTTCAAATAAATTTAATGGGTGTTTGGTACCTAACTCCCTCAGGTCCACAACTTTATTTATTTACTTTTCCCAGCAGCTCTTATCTGTGCAGTAAAGCTTTGATCTCCATAGAGAGCACTATGCTTGTTTGTGCACAAACCAGAAACGCTCATGTGTTTCACAGCTTCTGCCCCCAAAGGATCCATCAAGAGAACAGAAATTGGTCTCCACCAAGGATTCAGAGTGCTAATGTGATAAAAATGCTCCTTTGTTCCAGGGGCTCAGAACAGCCATCCAGATTTTCAAGCCAACAAGAACTTGCTCTTCTCTTCCTGTTTGAACTGATGAAAATCCCTGATATTTCTCTCCAGTGCACTTCCACTCCAGTCATTGTCACAGGCTTTCCACTATGAGGACAAAAGACATCCACATTAGAACTGGAAGGGAATAGCATGGGACAGCCAAAAAAGGTAAGATATTCAAACTCCCTTAGCGCAGATGGAAAACCCAGTCTCCAGCCTCTGAATCCACAAATGCAAGCATGCAGAATAGCCCTAGTATATCATGTTTGCAAGACAACACAATCCAGGGAGTAGGTTACTAGGTTAACATTCAGCACTTCTATTTCCAGCTCTGCCACTGATGGCTACAGGACTGCAGACAACTCATTGCCTCTTTGTCTGTCTCGTTCATTTAGATTAGTTTTTCAGTTCAGGGATTGTTTCATTCTGTGTTTGTGAAGTTTCTTTTTCTTTCTTTCTTTCTTTCTTTTCTCCCCAGAAATGTGTGTCTAACACTGCTCAAGACCCTTTTGATCAGAGTACACTCATTAACTTCAGAAACAGACTTCAAAGAGAAACAGCAGAACTAAAATTCATTTGCAAATTCAACACCATTAATCTGGGCTTGAATAGGGACTGGGAGTGGCTGGCTCATTACAGAAGCAGCTTTTCCTCTCCTGGAATTGACACCTCCTCATCTATTATTGGGAGTGGACTACATTCACCCTGGTTGAATTGGCCCTGTCAACACTGGTTCTCCACTTGCGAAGTAACTCCCTGCTCTCCATGTGTCAGTATATAATGTCTGCATCTGTAACTTTCACTCTATGCATCCGAAGAAATAAAGTTTTTACTCACGAAAGCTTATGCCCAAATAAATCTGTTAGTCTTTAAGGTGCCACCAGACTCCTTGTTGTTTTTGTACTCATTAATGAGTTCATCATACCATCAAAGGGTATGAATATGCACTAGCCTTTGTAACCTGAGTAGATTCCCCAAACTTCAATCAAAAACACTCCAGTTTAGATAAAACATTAAAATAAGTTTATTAACTAAAGAGAGAGCGATTTTAAGAGATTGTAAGTGGTATAAGCATAGAAATTCAGAATTAGTTAACAAAGGAACTGAAAGATTAAAAAATGCAAGCTATTTCCTAGACTTTATTAGATTATGTCAAATTTGATGTAATAAGGTTTCTCTTACCCCAAAACGTACAGCAGTCTGTGCTAACTGGAAAGCTTTTCCAGTTAGGACCACTTCCCCCAGTTCAAATGGTTCTGTGTCTTCCAAACAAGCTTGTTGCCTTCAGTATAGGTGGGAGAGGAGAAATGGGCTGATGATGTCACTGTCCCTTCTTTTATACTCTCTTTCAGGTGCTGGAACAATCATTGCTGTGTCATGGGGTTAGGCAGCCCCATTGCCTAAGTGCCCTGCATCCAATCCTTCATATGAATTGTAAAGTTTTGCTTGGTGTGGACTGCACTCTCAGCAAGTTTGCAGATGACACTAATCTGGGAGGCGTGGTAGATACACTGGAAGGTAGGGATCAGATACAGAGAGACCTAGACAAATTAGAGGATTGGGCCAAAAAAAAAAACCTGATGAGGTTCAACAAGGACAAGTGCAGAGTCCTGCACTTAGGACGGAAGAATCCTATGCACTGCTACAGACTAGGGACTGAATGGCTAGGTAGCAGTTCTGCAGAAAAGGACCTATGGGTCACAGTGGATGAGAAGCTGGATATGAGTCAACAGTGTGCTCTTGTTGCCAAGAAGGCTAACGGCCTTTTGGGCTGTATAAGTAGGGGCATTGCCAGAAGATCGAGGGATGTGATCGTTCCCCTTTATTCGACATTGGTGAGGCCTCATCTGGAGTATTGTGCCCAGTTTTGGGCCCCACGCTACAAGAAGGATGTGGAAAAATTGGAAAGAGTCCAGCGGAGGGCAACAAAAATGATTAGGGGTCTGGAGCACATGACTTATGAGGAGAGGCTGAGGGAACTGGGATTGTTTAGTTTCCAGAAGAGAAGAATGAAGAGGGATTTGATAGCTGCTTTCAACTACCTGAAGGGGGTTCCAAAGAGGATGGAGCTCGGCTGTTCTCAGTGGTGGCAGATGACAGAACAAGGAGCAATGGTCTCAAGTTGCAGTGGATATTAGGAAACACTATTTCACTAGAAGGGTGGTGAAGCACTGGAATGCGTTACCTAGGGAGGTGGTGGAATCTCCTTCCTTGGAGGTTTTTAAGGACCGGTTTGACAAAGCCCTGGGCGTGAGATGAGTTTAGGTTGGGGAATTGGGTCCTGGTTTGAGCAGGGGGTTGGACTAGATGACCTCCTGAGGTCCCTTCCAACCCTGATATTCTATGATTCTATGGCTTGGTCTACACTAAACCCCAAAATCGAACTAAGGTACGCAACTTCAGCTACGTGAATAACGTAGCTGAAGTCGACGTACCTTAGTTCGAACTTACCGCGGTCCAGACCCGGCAGGCAGGCTCCCCCGTCGACTCCGCGTACTCCTCGCGGCGAGCAGGATTACCGGAGTCGACGGGGAGCACTTCTGAGTTCGATTTATCGCGTCTTGTCTGGGCGCGATAAATCGAA